CTTCGCTTCTGCTCCGCACGGGAAACGAACATTTATGAGCACCTGTTTATATGCATTATAGCTATCATACGCCCCGTAACTCGCAAAGCCTTAGCATGTCCAAGTCAGCCAGATTGAAGGATAACTTCAATGCATCCTTTCATTGATCTTTTCCTTAGTTAAACCGCCAACCCATTTCCACCTCTGCGGCAAACATACCTCCATTCACGGAGAAGGCAGGCGTGGACAGATTTGAGACATCCACAGGACCTGGGATGTCAAAATTTTTCCCGGCGCATTGCGGGGCAGGGTTTTTTTGCGTCTTCTGGGCGGCACGTCATCGGAACTACACATCACCAAGGGGCCACAGAGCGGTAGTGAGGCATGAGCTTGAGAGGGAAATCTCAACTCAGAAAGTAATTTCCCTTTTATTCTTCCATTCTGGACTTCTTTAGTCCGGCATTCAAGCATGCCTAAAGTTTCCGCCCAGAAACTGGCTGCTGGCTGGGGAATCCGGTGTAGAACTCAACAGCAACGAATAATATTTGGTCGGGCCAGAATCCGGTCAGCATAAAAGAGAATTGTGACGAAGTCCACTGATTATGAGCCAGTTAGAGGATGCGGCGGGCGGCCTACTGAATGCGGTTTTACGCTGCAAGTTACGAGACAGCTGCCTAAGTGACGTCTATTCATCGGAAAAATGAAGCAACTTATGAGGTTATTCGGGGAGGTGCCGCTGGTTTTGCTTGTAAACTACCATATTTGAGACGGTTTGAATGGAGAATGACAGGGTTGGTGCTAAAGGACTGTCTAATCTACTTTCGACAGAAACCGTCCTTTTGTAAGGACTTGATTTCATTTTTTTTTGATCTTACGGCTATATTAATACGGCGTGTTGAAGGTACAAGGGCTGAATCTTGCTCTATTGCCCACAGTAGATACAAACATATTCCGAGTACCTACTGACAACTTGTTAGTAGGCATATATTTTCAGGCTTCGCACCGTACCCCTGTGGGAATAGGATACCTCGTAACAATAAACAATTCATGAGTTAGTAACTACAACCAAAGACTTATCACCTACTCGCACCAAGGGTAATTACTGTTACCTAGGCTAGATTACACGCCAATTCCTTAGGTGCGACAACTGAGAGTGGACAGGCACTAGACCAACTTTGTTGTTTGCCGGTGCTCCCTTGTGAATGTCTTCCGTAGTTACGGGTTCGTTCAGTCAAGCCCACATCTATAATACTTTGACTGTATATAAGACACGAGTATTTTCTTGTTTGCGCTGTGTTACAGTGTTTGTGGTCCACTCCGTTCCCGTATCTAGCAATTTGTACGCCAACAGCACACGCGTTTATCCATTAATCCTCTAAACATGGAGTTTGCTTTCGGACGTTACATAACATGTCATTACCTTAACGCGGGGAATTGGGAAACGATCGTTTGGCTTCACTCCCTCATCGTGGACGTTGCTGTTCGTCTTAGCGTTATCTACCATTGGATGTACTGATATATTTCAGAAATCATCGTGTCGACTGGATCGTTCATCGTAGACCATAGTTAACAATAAGAAGAAACAATGAAGAAGAAAAAGACGACGAATAAGGAGATTTTCTTATTAAACTGACGATAATTGCGAAGCCGTAACTTGAACGATATTCCTGTCTTCATCAATTGGTCACAGTCGGACGACTCGATCACATCGGACTTAGCCGTGCAAGTGCGTCCCGAAGTCTTTAACGAGATAAAACTCTGAGACCGATGGTCTGGACGGAATGGAGAGAGCGGACTCACATAAATTGTCGGGGACGGTGCAGGAGATTAGTAGTATTATCGACCGCACCGATAAGCGTTGTCGAAATCATCTCACCGGGAACTCACACGGTGACGTCAAACACCAGCTCGACGGACGAACAGACAGGGGGCAGATGTTGGTAACGTAGCCCCACCTGAAGAAAACAAACCCCAACCACCTGTAATACGGGACCGGTGGCAATAGCGATCTGCAAAAACCTTCTCCCGTAAAAAGGGCTACTTAGGTAGTATGAACATTTCCCATTTCTTTTCTAAGTCTTCGTCGATTCAAATATACGTTGTAAGAAACAAGCACAATTTGGTTGCAGATTATGTGATCTTCAAATCTTGTACTTGAAGAAAAGTACCCTTCGGTTTCAAATTATGAGATTTTCAGAGGTCGTGAAATGTCTATTCAAAAAACACTGTATCTCTACATCTACTAGTGTCGCTTGTAAACTATGCGATGTTTCAAGTCCACAAAAAAGTTCCGCGAAACCTGTACGGCATCCTCTCGGTAGCGTATACAAATGTATGATTTTCCTTAGACGGAAAATACACAGCTTGTAGTCTGAAAACTATGATTGTACTTGTAACCGCAGGTCGGGCTAAAAATTAAACCTCGCTAGTTTCAAACCCCTACAACAAAAACGAAATCTAGTCCGATGTTTGGCACAAAGTGCTAAAAAAATTTGCTCAACAGATAGCATCGAGGAGGAACTTGGAAAATCCAGAACTTCCTTCGTGTAAACGGGAACCCGGACAGGTTTATAAGAAAGAATATAGCCGAACGACCGATAAAACACGCCACACCGACGGCCGACAAGCAAACACTGTTCCTTAAAGTCCCTTTTCAAGGGGATGCGGCGAGTTAACTCCTAAAGAGACGCCTTGATCAAGCTGTTTCGCGAACCCTCCCAGCGGCAAGGGTTCAAGCATCCTTCTCTACTAACCCTATTTTATGAGAAGGTAAGGATAAGTTGCCAGCCCAGACCACTTCAATGTGCATTTAGTCGTTCACTTGCTCCTCTGGCGCAGGTTATATTGGTCGCACGAGTCGGCACTTATTCAAGAGAAGCCAGTAACACCTCCCGGCATGGCTGAAAAAAACAAAACTAGGAGCATAAGCAGCGCTAAACTCGCGCAAGTTGTCGACTCCGGACATCATGTAGACCCCAATGAAGCGTTTCGTGTGATCTATAAGGTCCCATCCACCTATCCTAAACCACTGGGACAGCGCTTACAGCAGAGGCGGCCGCCATCAGGTTGCGAAAACCAATCTTGTGCGCACAAAAAACCACGCTCAGGCTCCGCGCCTACAGTGGTCGAAGGTCGACTAACGCTACAACTTTCCCGCGCCCTTCCATTCTCGCCCCGCCCCTGACACTGACTGCTACTACTTCTCCCCCCCCCCCACATTCCCACACCCAGCCTGTGTTTTAAGGTGAACTTTGATCGATTTATGTTATCACTGACGTCTTTAATTCTACCCCCTTCCCATATAATTGTATTGGCCCGACGAAAATTTATCGAAAGCTACGTATGCTCGCCACCTCGTCTTCTATTTAGAAATTGCAAAGGTTCTCGAGCCTCATTATACCCCTCCCTCGAGTACAAGATTTCAAGACTTGGCTTATAATCGAATGAACAAAAGGGTGAATGTCTTCTGTAAGATATACTGTTGCAGGGAAATCACGCAGATGTGAACTGGCAATCCTGTCGCGGACCGGGGCATTTTCATTGTGACCCCAATACAAGCACGCCATGGTGACAATTCCTGGCTTGTTTACCGTAGTCCACCGCCGTAGCATCTGACCTTATCCGGTCTTATGCTTCGTTGGGTAATTAAGCCAGACTGTCGTGGCAACGATGCCCTCCAGCCTCCCCGAGGTCGGTATTTGGAGGACTGCTCTAGCTACAAATTAGAGATAGGCGTCTTCTCTCTCCTCCCAGGATCCGAGTCTAGAGGTCACGCATGCCGTCGCTTCACGACTAACAATCGCTGGTCGATTTCGGTCGGGAGGATCTCTGGCACCCTATCTTTTCGAGAAGTGCTGTTTAAATGTTGGTGCAACACAATACATGGACGCGCAGTTTGGTGTGGTAAAAAAAGCAAGGACACTCGATGGGAAAACGGTTGGCAATCCTACACTACTACCGAGCCGAAGTCACATACTGGAAAGGGGCCGACGATCTTAACTCCAAGCGTCTGAAAAGATTGGTTAAATTCGAGCTCTACGCTGGTGGAACGTAAAAGCGGAGACGGATGAACAGGATTTTCGAGTTTAGGCAGTAGAATACGATCCAGGATGACCGACCAACAAGAAAGTAGATGACGCTCGAGGCAGTAAACCTTTGGTGCTACCGAACAAACACATCACCTGTCCTCTGATTGTACCTAATCATCTGGCTAGACTTAGATGTGTCGCGTGGCGGTGTGTAGGACCTAAGTTGGTAAACCCTAACCATCACAAACGTACAAAGTCCACCAGACAGATTTCCGTAACACCGAAGAGTACGCCCTACCCTCTAACGGTTGACAAATATGAAATCGGCTAAGAGGAAAAGATCCCACCTACGTGACTGACAAGACTCCATTTCCCTCGCCGGTGAGTGGACGTGTCACGATGAATACGACATATGAGGTGACAGACACATGGCTGCATATCCGCCGTCGTCGTCGTCGGACAGCCATAGCCGACCTGACGACTGAGAAAACCTAGGCAGTCAACCTGCGATTATCAGATTTTGAAGTATGACGTGCTGTATCACAGATTAAAGGAAACAAGTCAACTTCGTAATGGTAGGATGTCCGCAAGGTAACACGGGATGGCATTCAACGATCTAATCTTAGAAAACGGCAACGGGCGCCCTGCTCTACCATGAGAACATAGGCTGCGTCCCTTGAAGGCAGAGGGGAATATGGCGACGAGCATTCTACTAGCTAATCCTCAATGCCTAGGCAATCCAGCATTGCTGATTGAAAGTCACGGCGATTCCGAGGTGACTTCCACCTTTCGGACAACCAAAGAGCCACAAATTGGCAACGACACAATGGTTTTAACAAGGGGGTATTTCTATAGGGTCAGGATGAGACCTGGAGTAATAAATGCAAAATAGTCAAAAATAAATGCGTAAAAGGTAAAGGTCGCAGAAAAAAAATCTGGAGAGTGGCGGCAAGAGTACGAATCTGTTCAACTTCATCAAAATAGAGTGAATTGTCAGGGTTCGTCTGCCGTTCCGGCAAGGTCCTCTGCTGGAGGCTCAACTTCCTGGCCAGCTGCACCATGAAGGATGACGTTCTGTGCGGTGATGCATTGCATCCAATCATTTGATGATTTGCGGAAAGAAGTAAGAGCTCCAATGACACAGACACGGTCGCCCTGACACAAACCCCTTATTCTGTTTATGAGTGGCTGGTCGAAAACGTGGATTCTAAATTTTAAAAAAACAGACTCAACAGCATGAAAGAAGACCTGAATCACTGACACAATTTTTGGCACGGGTTTGTCTCTGCAAGTCGTCTGTGAGACTAACGCTGGAGACGTCTAGTTGTAACCGAAGCATCCTAAGACCCAGTATATTTTTTCATTCTTCCCTGTCTGGAAACTTGACTATGGAGTCCAGACGACCGCTTAAACGTGAGCACATACACATAAGACCTGGCCCGCAAATTATTCGAATCTGTAAGTGTCGTGAAGTTGGCAGAAATACGCAGATGCCATCGTTCGCGGAAGCCGGGAACCATACTGAGTCCTCGTGGGGTTAAACCCGGCTGCCTAGGCATTTTACCTTAACATGCGAATGAATCTGGACTGCACCGGTCATTTCATTGGCTACTACGGTTTAGGTTGCGCCAGACTTCTCTCAAGCGGCTCCAGACAAAATCTCCAAAACAAGTGTTAACGGTGACTGCGTGAAGAATTCTGGGAATGAAGTACGTTGCTGAACCGTCCCGAAACACTGATTTACGGACGTAAGGCCGAACACCCGAGAATTCTTGTATGAGGCTACAATTCTCCGGACCGTCATCTCTATGTAGAGGGCATACAGATGACGGATGAATCGCGTGCAAGGTTTTTGAGATCCGCGTAAAAAACGCATGAACAGTGGGCAAACTTCCGGGTAGACTCTGTCTTTGAACACATTTTTTCAACAACAAAAGTGTTGATGTCCTTGAATTAAAACTTAGCAAATGCAACGTTGTAATGCCCAAAGCGATCTATAAATCAATCATTCGTCAGCTTGAAAAGTTTACTTTACAAAGGAATAACCACAGGGCGCGCACGCACTGGTAATATAAAAAAGCTTGCATTCGAAAGGTACTGTGTGGACTAATTGCGTTCATAAGCGCATCGGAAAACGGAGGCGGCACGTTTGGCGAGCAACCAAAACAATCATTCTTCGCTGTGTACATCCAGGAGGGGCGCTGTTGGTCGGGAGCTACTTTCCCAAACAGAAACGGACAATCTGAACCCAACCGATTGTCCTGACGAGGACAGGCCTGCCGACCCCTCTTCTTGCCGGCTGGAAAACTGGTCTGAGATAGAACCTACTACAGGTCCTCGTCGACCGTGCTTTCACTTTCTACTCAGTCTAACCGGCCAACTTTCTGTCTTAATTCATTTTCAGCGTTGTTGTGGACGACAGTTGGGGGAACTGCATGGAATAGGCAAACTCCGATGCAGTCGATTTCGCTGGTAAGATAGCTACGATTTGGCAGGCCTTAAATGTGCCGAAATTGAGTAATAGGTGCTTTTATCAGTGATAAGCTTACTTGACTTAGACATATAAACCGCATGAACATAAACTGACGCACCGACTAATCAATTGGATCTTAAATTTGTGATCGCGATAAAACATGCGCCCTAGAAGCTAATAGTTCGTTATGGCAACAGTCACAAACTTGATAACAAACCTGTGATATACCAATTTCATGAGAAAGCGATCAGCGCTACGGTAACGCGCACGAGTAAGAAGATTGAAAACTGCCAGTTCGCGATCACCCTTCCATGATTCGATTGTAACGCCATTGGATGCGACACTGCCCAGCAGTGTGACCTATGATAGAGAAATAAGGACAGATGCATTTGTTAAAAGTGGGACAGAATATGCCAGTGAAATTGAAGGAAGACATCAAAGCAAAGTACGCAAAACGCACGGTACGAAAACTATGAACTCCCTTTAAAGGGAGTGGTGTTGATGACATAACTAAAACCAAGATGTCAAGAACCTACTACAACGATGTTCCAAGGAACTCACATGATTAAGGTCGACAGGAAATGCTGCCGTGCCCAAAGATGCTGTCTGAGTATGGCTGATTACAAAACGAAGCGGGGCTAAGCGATATCCGCGAAACAGCATCATCTCGAGGCGCTGCAGGAAGTTTCGGGACTAAAGATTAGAGAAGTGAGGGCGTTGGACAAAATTTACTACAAGGGACAGAATTAAAATAACTAGGCAGTTAACGAGAGATAACGAACCGTGAAGTCAGCCCATTACCGCATGCACCTACCTCCACCTGTATAAACTTACACCATTTCAAAATAACGCAACATACCTAAACGCTCGACCTGATCGGCAAAGGATCGACCAAATCAGTGAACGCAGAAACCCTTGCGTTGACAAATCCAATGGCTCGCAGATTCATCTAATCTTTAAGTGTCTTTAGACTGTACTCTTTGTCAGAATTTGATGCAGTTGCAGCTAAGGTTTATAAGCGAATCCAGTGATGAATGTCAACGTGATCATCCTTACGGGAGGCATTACATTACGTTTGGTTCAATTGCTTAACATGGCTAGCGGAAAAAGCAGAACTTGCTGGGGTTCTTATTGAAGGTAAAGATTAAAGTGAAGATGAAGCTACGAAAAACGTTATAGATATGAACATACATTTCTGATCACGTATAGTCTTTAATACAGAATTTGAACGACATAACCGTAATGAAGAAAATGATTCAGTTAAGTTCAGCTCATTTCAGTTTATTGAGGGAAATAGGCGTAAGCCTTTAAGTACCCTATTTGCAACTTAGAATATGTGTGGTATACAGATAGATGTTCTGGGCTGAAATAGTTCGAACACGCCCATAATGGTGGGACAAAATGAGAAGGAGTTACAGGGGGTGAGCTCGATTTCTCATCGCTCTTGGTCACTTCGGAACATAAATATATCAAGATTCTTTTTAAAACTTTGCGTGGATGATGACATCACAACATCTGCGGGAAGGGCATTCCATGGTTTGACCACTCGAACGTAGAAGGAGAACTTCCGCACATTCAGCCTTGCCTGCTGAGTGCACAGTTTTAATGGGTGTCCTTGGAGGTTGGTCGTGGTAGCAAATTCAAAAAAGTCCTCGAAGGCCAGACTGCAATCCAACCCCTTAAGAATGCGGAAGGCTTGCAAGAGATCCTTGCGAAGTTGCCTGTAACTTAAAGGAAAGAGGTTTAAATTTACTAGGCGGGTTGCATAAGGAAGGAACTTTGACCCCTAACCATCTTCATGGCTCTCCTCTGGACCCTTTCGAGGCAGTTTTGATCGTCAACAGCCCACGGCCTCCAAGCTTTATGCCGTACTCTAAATGCGGCCGGACGAATGTTCCGAATGTCTTAGAGAAAGCTTCTTCGTCAAAGTCCATAAACGCGCGCTTTATGGCGTACAGTACGGACATTGCGCTTTTTGCCACCCTCGAACAGTGGGCGGATGGTTTTAGGGAACTCGTCGTTAGCACACCGAAGTCCCTTTAGGCTTCGACCTCTTGTAGGGCCGCAGCACCCAGAAAGTGGCCTCTTGTGCTGGCGGATCTGGCTGTGTTGCCTAGGCGAAGTATGCTACATTTGGCAACGTTGAAGCGCAGGAGCCAACGGTTTGACCACTCCTTCAACCGATTTAGGCTCATTCGTCTTCGTCGGCAGGACCCCGAATTACACTCCACATCTTCATGTCATCCGCAGACATTGTAACTTCGCCGTCTAAAGCTCTTGCGGCATCGTCCACGTAGATAAGGAACAAAATGGGTCCCAATACTGAACCCTTGGGGACACCATTGTCGACCATAGCAGGATCTGACTTCCCTTGACCGATGCACACAATCTGCTGTCGACCCACAAGGAAGTTTTCGATCCATTTAAGGAAGTTGCCACCGATCCATATTTTTTGTAGTCTATGTAAAAGCCCCTGGTGTGGCACAGTGTCGAACGCCTTCTGGAAGTCGATGAGGCATGCATTTAATGTTTTGCTCAACAGGCGGTAATCGAATGCCGATTTTGGACCTGACGCTTGGAGGGTATTCCAGTTTGTTCCTGGTGCGTTGAAGTCGCCCATGATCATGATGTTAGGTCGACTGGAAAATTTGTCCATCTGCTCCAATAGTTGAGTGTCGGCGATTCGGTCTGTCCTAGATGGTCGGTAGACAGTGAGGACATCGAGACACGGGAACCGGTAGCCTTGATGGTTAACCAGATAGCTTCCGTATTGCACGCAAACTTGGTGGTGTTATCCGACACTGTCAGACCTTCATTCACATACACAACGATACCACCACCCATCTTATAAGTCATAATATTTTCGTGTGAGCTGCAGGAATTAAACTTCGTACCTTGCACTTTTTTCCCGTGTCAAATGCGTCGAGTAGATTGTGGTTGCCGATTTAACACAGTCAATTTGATTGATTAATATCCAAATTTCCTTCGCAGCCAGCAGGGTTTGAAAAGAATGATCAAACTCTGGCAAATTCCAGCAGATTGGGACGGACGATGTTACTTATGTTCGCTAGACGAGGAGATAAGTACCAAAGGTTATTTTTAATATTTTAAGCACGAAACTTATAAACCCAATCGGACACACTTCGGCAGTGTTTTCGTCAAGTGATTTCTGTGGCCTGAAGCTCCTTCCTCGAAATTTAGCGTACTGTTTTCTTGAGGTAAAGTAGTTGTAAAAACAAATATCTATCACTGGCGCCGGAAACATTTTATGAGCCAGGGCAGGTTGTATGACATTCGATCTTGTATAGTGTGGGTGCGGAATTTGTGTCCCATAATTTGCATGAGGTGCGAAGACTGCTTTGGATATTTCGCATTGTTCCCCGCTTATATGCGTAAGGTCCAGGCACTTACATTTTAATACACTGTCAGCACATGCTCATTCGTTAAGAAACGGGGATTTGAAAGGGACTAGGCAAGTGCATGCCACTTCAATGAATTCACTCATGTTGCATGAATATTGGAGAGGTAATGTACCGCTTACATGTGTGTGCTTACCGTAAAAATAAGCCAGGTAGGCCAAATAAGATAATATTTTTCCGTACACATGTGTCGATTTAGCCAACTGCAGTGTACGTTCCATCGCTTAATAAATGTATGACTTTGTTTGAGTGGATCACGTGGAGGGCACTTGCCTGTTGAGCGTGCTGTTTGGCCATTGTCGTGCTTCCTCCAACTGCCTATTCTCCTCGACCAATGTTTGCAGCGGGGATACGTAAAGGCAAGTTCTTTCGGTGTCTTTTATTTTTATGATCTATAATTGATGTGATTACAGATTAATTTAAAAATACTTAAGGACCAGTTAGGTCTAGCAGCCGAATGGTATCTCTCGAAGCAGATTGCACATTGACAGTTCAGATATACCCATTTTATACTGCTTTTGCCGTCCACGGGAACTAAATATGAAGCGTTATTTCTATGGACACCACCGTAGTACTAAGCGCAAGAGAATAAGGCGGGACATATATGCATATTATGCCGCCATTGATGAACTTGAGTTCTTTCTCCCATCAACATAATCCACGGTAACAGACCAATCTTCGGAAAGACAAATGTTTACATAGAGTCCAGAAGTTCCTGCGGGTAGGTTTTTTACGGGCATAACCGAAAAATGGTACAGAGTCAGTTTCGGACGTGGGACGCACAAAGGCATTTGGCGATAAATGCTTTCGGACAGATTTGCAAAAATCCCAACTTTATGTACAATTGCGCTGTCTCTAACGGGAAAGCTGCTTAATATGTTGCGGTCCTACCATCCAGAGTTGCCAAAGAGCCAGCGAAAGCTATTGCAAATCCCCCCCCCCCTGATTGCGCATTAGCAAGCCCCTGAAGAACGGGTGCTATGTCTATTTGGGTACTAGACGGGGTTGCTCAACCAGCTACACCGTCAGCTGGCAGCGAGAATTCTGGAAATGAGCTTTCAATTGCGCACTGACAGAATAAAGATTTTAAGGGCTCCAGTCTATGTCTGTGGCCGTCCGGTTGTTGGCCTGCCCTTCGTTGTAGATTTATTCACTGGTTCTGACAAGTCTGAACCCATCGACGACTTCTTGGATCACTGTGCGTCTGAAATGAAAGGCCTACTAAATTATGGGCTGGGCGATGGATCTCTAAGATAAGTCCGCTCACACTAGTTGCCTGAAAAATTCCTTTCCTTTTAGACAATCTGAGGGGCAACCGACCGGGACGGGGGACGGTGATGGTGACGCGAGAACCGACGCACTACCGGGGTGGACATCGGCGCTCTCAGCGAGACCCGCATCACAGCGCTCTTCCAGGTGGTATGGCGTCAAGAACAGGTCTCCCGAGATTACAGGGATAAGATAATCGTTCAGCGTCACAAGCGTACGGAGAACTGACAACTTCGTGACAGTCACAGAGATATCTGGCTTCTCGACTTCACCAATGACCTCAACAGCCACCTGGAGGAAGAATTACATCCAGGAAGCCAATGTGACATCCGACGACACCGCAGAACAGCCGATATGATCTTCGCCGCTCCTTAGTCACAAGAGAGATGCCAGGAGATGCGAACTCGCCTTCTTCGTTCGGACGAAGGCAATTAGCCACGGCCATCGTGGTCAAAGCTGGCGTTTTTATTCAGGGTCCCGTTGCCTTAACGATATCCGCCTTCACAGTGAGTAGTTCCAGACGTATTGACCTGCAGTCACTCCATCGATTTCGATTCAGACACACATGCCTCCACAGAGTCGACCCTGCTCATGCGCCACTTGGAACCACTATCTCCTGCGAACACAACATAAGCCCCTTGAACACCACCACCCGGTAAGCGCAACACACACCAATAGGAAAACACCTAAGCTCGGCTCGCAAACCTACAAAAGCAGCAACCACAGCCGTCTCGCAAAATCTCAGGCATGAATGGAATCAGCCACCACCAGCCCTGACAGCCCGGTCATCCTAATATCAGGACTCATCTTCGCATACATCCGGCTTCTTCGCCTTGAAGGTAAGTAAAGGCTACCTTTCATACTTGCTCAATGTGCATCTACGCAAGCAGGTTACATTGTTTGAACGACTTCAGACATGTCTAAGCGGGTGCAAGGGCACTATCCTGCCCCGCAGGATGAGGGCAAGTCCATCACTAGCTCAATTGTGGATAACTTGGTTGACAGAGGTCAGGCATTCCAAATCACCTACAAAGTACCGGCGAGACACTCCGAGCTTCTGCGCCAGCGGATAATTGCGACGTCGGATGAGGTGTCATACGGTTGACCGACCCAAGCCTGTGCACAGAGAAGTCGTTTGTACAAACCCTCAGACTATCCTGGGTGGAGATGGGCCCAGCATGTACTTTTCCGCATCCATCTACCTCGCACAGCAGCGACGAAGCAACGATATCAGAATTCTTCCCCCACCCTGCTTATGCCCTCGACATGACCGACACCTCTGAAAGCCCACAACCATCTCCCACATAAAAACTACCAATTGGCTGTTTTGAAATTCATTGTTTTGCAGTAATTTATTCATATTACTGTACAGACTATCGCATGAAGCATAGAAAATGTACATTCGTCTGAAATGATTCCTTCAATATTTCAATTTACTAAAATGTCCCATCAATATCATTATTCCTCACATGTGTCCGGTTTAAAAGTGCTTTGCAATGATTTAGCTAAAGGGCTTTAAATTATGGAGGCTAGGGTTCATCGCCACCTTTAAATCCTCCAACAAGTCACCGTTTGCGTGACAAGGACTGTTAATCTGGAAATTCCAACATGAAGTCTATGATCCTCGGCTGACTTCCTCTTCCTGACCGCATAATAATTCCAGTATATAGTATCCTGCCTTGAAATTATGCCGTATATGTATGCGGGAAATGGACTTCAAGAGGGAGGCTACAACGAATGACACCACGCCTCCGTTTTTGCAGCTGTGATCCCATTCCGAACCAGAAGTCAACCGTCGTCTGCCGACTTCATTGCGAATGCGGAGCAGGTTAGTGCATTCGATTAAACTAGCTGAAAGCTGCGACCGCCAATTCCGGAATACCAGTTGATTGTTCGAAAGTTGGGCCCAAAGTCAGAGATGGCAAATCATACAGTGCAGACGAGATAAAACTTCAAATATGACGTCATTTAGAGTGGTGGATTGCGGGAGTGACAATAACTCAAGGCAACAGTATGAATTTCGAATGCACCAGTCTGCTCAGTCAACCGTCGCATAAACCCATCTGCGCCCTCCGTGAGTTTTCGAACCGGCTTTTTAAGAGGCAGTGAAGACGCAAGGCCATCAGGAATGCCACCAGTCAATAGAAGCGAAAAGACGAGTCCCAGGAAGGAGTCTTGAAGAAGAAGACACGATCGACGGGACAAGACCTTTATTAGCCTGACGTTTCGGATTCCTGCTCGAGTCCATCATCAGAGACATAAGCAGATAAGGGTGGTTCATGCACATGTGGCTGCAGTATTTATAGGATGCAGTAGCCATGCCACCGCATACCTATGAATGTTCACGGCTCCCTCCCCTTCATCAGGGATCGTTGCACGTGGCGTGATGGTCGATATTCGCGTCGTTAATTGCTGCAATTTCATCACGTGCGTTGGATGTTGGTGCGATGATTGCTCGACCATCTGACGCGCTGACCCGGGTGTTGGGAAGAGTGTTCATCAGGGCGCTCCCCGCGTGGCCAATTTCTTCGCCTAGACGAAGTCTCAGCACGCTGTATTGAATGGGAAGATCATTGCACTTGTTGATAGACTTAATAATAGAGTTGCACACAGGCCAGTGGCAACCATCAGGCGTCAATTGATGAAACCAAAAGACCCACTGCCACGGCAAGAAACGTCTGGAGTCGTTTATCGGATCTGGTGCAGTTGAGGACAAAGCAACTATGTCGGAGAAACCGGAAGACAGCTCCGAACGCGAATGGCCGAACACGCTGCAGCAGTGAGGAGAAATGACGCCAGCTCTCAAGTTGGGGCTCATTCGACGGGTTCCGGCCACACATTTAAATTCGATGAGGCCGAAATTCTCGCAAGAGGTGACAACAGCGTGAGCCGGGAGCTGCTTGAGTCATAGATCACTGGCCCCCAATCTATTAACAAGTGCAATGATCTTCCCATTCAATACAGCGTGCTGAGACTTCGTCTAGGCGAAGAAATTGGCCACGCGGGGAGCGCCCTGATGAACACTCTTCCCAACACCCGGGTCAGCGCGTCAGATGGTCGAGCAATCATCGCACCAACATCCAACGCACGTGATGAAATTGCAGCAATTAACGACGCGAATATCGACCATCACGCCACGTGCAACGATCCCTGATGAAGGGGAGGGAGCCGTGAACATTCATAGGTATGCGGTGGCATGGCTACTGCATCCTATAAATACTGCAGCCACATGTGCATGAACCACCCTTATCTGCTTATGTCTCTGATGATGGACTCGAGCAGGAATCCGAAACGTCAGGCTAATAAAGGTCTTGTCCCGTCGATCGTGTCTTCTTCTTCAAGAATGCCACCAGTCGCCACGGTAAACATGGACGGATTTGAGTGAAAGAGTATCCTTAACATAACCGCAATTGGAATAGGCGTGTTACCTGCCATGAACAATTATTGTGTGACCATTGGGTGTCGAATATGGAGGGATGCGAACAGAAGCCTCCAGTCGACGAAGACCGGAGGTCAAAGTAGCCGTATGAAAACGCCAGAACACGGACGAACCCACACATCTGGGCGCCGTCATTAATCACATTTACAGTGGCGTAGGCGTTTGTTTACTTGGCGTTTATTTCCAAGCGGAAGAAAAGTAAAGGCTTAGTGCTCGATGATAAGAATTAAAATTAGTGTCGCCCAACGATATGTGGTTATTGGCGGTGTGAGTTTGTCTATTCCCTTTAGTTTGTCCGTTGAAGTCCGCTGACTGTCTAAAGATACTTGGGCCTTAAACTATGATGCCGATCCTCGGATTTCTCCTGAAAGATCTTTGTCGACTATATCAAAGTAAGACAGATAGGTTTTTATATATGAAAGTCAGTTCAGGTAGATTTGCAACTAATACTGAGAGAAACCCTACTAAATGTAATAATTCTTATCTGCAAAGAGTTGAGTTTGAAAAAAGTTCACACATTTGTCATTGGAAGTCTGGTTACTTTCTCGTGAATATTGTGGCGCCGATGTTCGTCGTTGTCATAATCACGGAACCTTTTAACGAGAAATTTAACCATTTCGCCCACAGCCACTGCACAACTGAATCACACTGTCGCCCAACACGTTCATGCTGTAGGCGCGACGGCTCAAGTTATCCGTGTGACTCCGTGCACAATACTGGATGCGTGCTTCATAGCAGAGCCAATGGCGGTGAAAACTATTGGTTTTTCAGGATCCGTGCAAGTGTCAGAACCTTTCAGGACGGGTCTACAACGTGGCGAACGTGATATCATCATTTTCATGAATTCCTTCTTCCTCCAAGAGCAGAAGATTTCAGCCAGCGCCGAAAGCCATTGAGGTGACAGTAGAAGGAGACCTTGAAAATTGATGTCGAGGCCGGGACTGGCGTATGCTTAAGCGTTATCTGCAGTACATCAGCCCAGCCGATTGAACCTAACTGGCAGCATGGGATGTGTGCTGTTTTCCTGGTTAACGATGCCGATTAGAACGTCGCCCACACGCGTGTTGGAGTGCGTTACCAACTGAGTCACTGTCTTCGACAAAACATGCAAAAGGTCCTCGGGGATCATTGTCGATAGGGGGAAGGAAACTGAACCAGACTTTTTCAGCGTATCTGCCTTCATTGGCCAGCGAACCATCAACCCCGGGTGCTGACGTCAACCAATTTAGTCTGTTACGACGCACTAAAAGTTGGACTGACGATATAAATCGGCCTGAGGACAGAGGCTCAGGCCGTAATGCGTCCTTCTAATAATGGCCTTTTTGACATACTCTGGCATGAGAAATTCGAGTCGCCTTCACGCACGTCTCGTAGAAGCCGAGGGGAGCAAGTCATATGTTGCACCGTCACGGCATCCGAGAAAGCAGGCAGCCTCGGCACAAGGAGGTGTCGTTTTTCTTGCAAGGTAGACGGTCGCGAGTCGTCACAGTGTGTCAACAGGGCACAACAGAGGTGACAGCGGATAATCGAAGGGTATTTAAGGGTAATAGGCAATGCCCTGGATGACCCTATTGAAAACGTTCCATACAATATAAATGGTAAACACACATCTTACTTAACGTTTGCTAGTAACATATTTGTTTGCGGAAAACGTTTTCATAGTGCGTGACTGCGAAAGGTGCGGCAGGCGGTCTTTCCAAAGTACATATGGAATTTTAAGTGCAATTATATACAATCAGCATAAAGTGCAGCCATTCGCGTAGTCTGAGAGGGAAAATTTCATTAAATGTCAGGTATGTGTTACATAGGGATGAAGTCACGAAATGAAATTTATGGCTGGCCGCAGATAATCCTGCAGTGAGAGTCGTCATTTACCAATGGTCGAAAGACCCAGATGCCATTTGAATATAGCTAATGAATCAGATGGGAATATTTGACTTGGGAGTGAGTTTCACAGTCAAACAACACGGTGGACGAAGGGAAAGTTTCGATGGTCTAGGCGTGTACGCTCCCGCTTGACTTTGCACGGATGACTGCGCAGGTGACTCATGGTCGTGAATTCAAAGGAGTCTTCAGGTCTCAGCGAACACTCATACCCGTAGATGATGCGGAATGTCCATAACAGGTCACACATCATTCATCTATAGGATAGGGGGGAACAAGTTTAGTTGGATTAGTCTTTCTGAATATAGCAGAGTACTGAGACCGTCCATCAGTTTTGTGGCCCGTCGTTGCACCTGCTCTATGGCATCACTGTGTTTCTTCATCTAGGACATTCATGATGGCATTCCGTATTGCAAATGTGGTCTGACGAACGTGCTAAATATCTGTGAGAATTGTTCGGGAGGAAAGATTTGGAAGGCACGCCTAATCCAGTGCATAATGCAGGTTGTCTTTTGGACGACTCTTTTGCAGTGTTGGGAGGGCAGCAAGTTTGAACATGTCCAGACACCTGGGTCTTTGTACGTGTCCACTTCTTTTAGTTGAGCCCCATTTATGGTAAAATGGTATTTTGAGAAGGGCCTCCGACCAGATTCTAGTCGCAAAACTGCACATTTAGATACGTTAAACGCCTTTGACTAGTCTGGAACAAAATGTCAACTAAATTTGGATACCGGCAGAGTCATTTCACTTTAAAAGAAACGCAACCTAGAAAGTATGCATTTGAATGAGTATTGGTGTTCGCGGATCTCCAGTCCAAATTTCCACAAGAAATGCTCAACGCCTTCGAATTACATTATTGCACGAAAGGAGTGCCTCGGTTTGGGAAAATTTTGTACGATGAATATTCATGAGGTAGAAGCACGGTTGTCTTAATATTCTAATGCCCACAACGTTATTAATTATACTGCCAGCCTTTAAATTGGGCCAGATATGCGGGCCAAGAGGTCGTTTTGTATGACTATGATGTGACAAGTACAGTTGTCTGATAAAAAATATGTTGCTTTAATTTTGTGCGCACTAGAATCTAGTTGAAACGCCGGGGTGTTTTGGAGTGCACAGAAATAACGAAGGCTTGAAAATGCATCCTGCACACTGTCCTTCCATACTTATCTTACTGAAGACGCGCACCTATCATACATATGGTTCTACTACCTATTTTCTATTAGTAGCAAGATATATTTAGACATACTTGACATCGTAGGTGATAACACGACAGGGCGAAGTAAGAGAGTACGCTGTCGCGCACGAACTCATTTAACATTAAAATACGTTATAGTGAAGGATGGGCCTTCGAGTAATTTGTTTGCGGAGGTCTGTTTTTAACATCAGATTGCGCCATCGGTGGGCAGCTGAATGTTCAGTTGTAAGACCAATAATCGTCCTCAAGTGCAGAAATCTGAGAAATCCATAAGACGAAATTAAATTAACAGACTGACCTAGTTCCCCTTATTTATGTCATGATTGCTGTCTGTCAAATAGCAAGCTGACTAAATCAGAAGGCATTTCGAAGACTTGGAGGACAATATAAAAAATATGCCGGTCAGTGGGAAGTGTGAAGAGTATTCATTATAATTTTCGGCGAAGATCATAGGTATTCAGTCAGGAAGAAGTTTTGAGAGAAGGCTACTGGAATCAGGATGACCGGTAACCTCAAGAACGTATAAGAGAATTGTCAAACTAGACGTTTGGTCTGGCTTAAGAGACGAAATTCTAAGGGATTCCATTAGGATTAGTCCAATCACATAGTCCTTTCCGATCATAAGGATTTTGACAACGTTCCGTTCCTCACCATGTTAACAAAACGAGATCCAACCATAAATCTCGACCCTATAGACGTGGTTAAAAGTGGTTACGTCTGTAATCGGGCTGGCCATAGAATCAATGTAGCGATTCAGTCAGCGCAGTATAACGTATACACACCGTCAACTTTTCGATAGACTTTCTAAGCAACCGTTTTTTCTCTGGGGACTGAGTAGAATAGAGGCATGTGGCGCTAGTGTTGAAAGGGCTGGCGGTAATCCATGGGTGCGGTGTCCTTGGATCAGTACAAATTTCAGCAGTGAGCGTAATCAGAAGCTGCAGCCCACAGATTACTCGTGGTGCATTTCGCGCCGGAAAAAGGTCTGGATGGGTACTTAGTCAATGGTCGCCAACTCAAACGGGTTGACACCATATTGCAAACAATAGCGGAAACTTTGGATTTTTGACGTAAATATGTTTTTTGGGAAAATAAGGAAGCTTTATTTGGTAAATATATCCAACTCCAGTTACGTAGGTTGCCGTCAAGCGTTGAGTTAGTGCGCAAAAATGACAAAAGCTTCGAACATGTTCAGAAAATCAATACTTGTCTGCGCCCGTGGACTGTCGTGTGCGCCATTTTGTATCGATCGACTAATGTCTCCAATTTTCCTTCTGGTATATTGTCCATAGTAAAGGTTTGCCTGCTTTTTAGGGCATTCATGGACACGTGCGACAGATGGTCTGCCGCCCTAACTGCCAGTTGACACTGCTGCATGCAGACAGAAGCAGACTTTCCAGTTTGGCATCAATATATGACGTCGCAGTCATCACTCGCAGCATTGTAGACGGCTACTTTTTTTATTCAGATAGCCAACCCAATTCTTAGGGTGTACCCGCTGAATGCGAAGTATAGTCGGCGGTGTAATTTCATGCAATCACAGTCTCAAGGCTGTGTGTGGTTCCCCAATGCATGGAAGGAATTTTGAATAATCGAATCTTCCGACTCCTGATATTTAATTACACTGTAATATAGGAGGTCTACTTTCGAGCCGAACTCTTCTAAATTGCTGACTCCAACCTAACAGATATGTGTCCAAATAAACGCTCTTTACATGCCTGACGAATAAGGCAAATAGTCCAGTTTTTTACCTTTATGAATGCGTTAACATATAATAAAACTGGCTGAGAAATGAAAATATCCCCCATCGAGTGTCCGATTGCTGCAAAAATGGAGGTTAACTGCGTTCTAATATGCAGGCACACCACGGGAACTCGAAATATGTAGTTATTTATGAAAATCCGAAATTAATGTGGAGTAACTATCATACATCATGCCTTAAATTCTGCACCCGTTTACCCGAAGTTCACCCCGTGATAGAAGTCGCGACACTGCCGTGCGAACCCTCGTTTCATGTCATGCGGCCTTCCGTCCGCAGAAAGCACAAGACTCAACGTTGAAACTTCTGGTCAGATGAACTAATTTCATAAAATTTTCATTTAGAAAATAAACAACAATTTCGACGGGCTGCTGTAACAACAGACGTTTATCTCTTCTTCTTCTTCTTGTCCTTCTTCTTGGGCCACTACAGAGGGATGCTGACGCGGCGCCACACGGCTCTGCCAACCCTCTTGGCACCCGACCAGACCTTCCTTGCAACCCGTCCGACCACTCGCGCACCCGATCTAATGGCGCGACCGGCGAAGCGCCCAAGTGGCCTCAGTGGAATCCGCGCTGGGGCCAGAACCTCGTCTCCGTGCAGCTCGCGTTCCTCCTCCTCCGCCGTCGCGGTGCTCACCTCGTCCACCAGCTGATCGAGGTCTGCTGGGTCTTGCGGCTGAAGGGAAGCCGCTAAGACAGTAAGACCAAGAAGCCAGAAAAGTACTACCGGAGACCGCATGCTGCGCTATGCGCGAACGATGTTCGCGGACGTTTATATATTGAGACAGAGGACCGCGAGTATCGTCACTGATCGTATTAACGGAGGCGTAGGCTGCCATGACGCATATGGGTGTTTGTTTACTTGGTTCGGAGGCGTTCGATGGTCTGACACGAGCACTGAGCATTCAAAAACGCAATATTTATGTTCGAGTCTTGCAGTAACAGGACAAATGCAATACCAAAAGCTATTGAGAATGGCAAAGTTGATTTGAATGTTTTGAGCACTTGATCGATCTGATTGAGAATGCTGAAAGAAGAAGCATTTTCCTATTTTCACTTTAAATCGCCCTGAACAAAAATATTCTGACTAAGTGGTAGGGGACGCTCACCGACCGTTCTTACGGAACTCACTTGTTCCGTTGTGCCTTACGCGCTCTCTCTCTCTCTCGAGCCCAACCAGCATCCGCACAGCGGCGCATGAGATAGGCAGTATGATATTACCGACGAAGAATAGGGAGACTGAAATGGCCATTTCTGGCTTATTAGCCGTTGTCAGTCAGTCATAACCAACCCCGAAGTCTGGAACACCCGAGGCTCGAGGCAACAACGGAACGAGTGAGTTCCATAAGAACGATCCGTGAGCGCCCCCTACCATTGTATATTCCCGATCGAAAACCCACAGGGCAACGGGCTCGTGTCCAAGTGCTTAGAGGCGTGTACTTCTAACTAAGAGGTCGCCAGTTCGACTCTCGGGTGTTCCACACTTCAGCGGGTCGGGTATGACTGGCTGACGACGGCTAATAAGCCAAAAATGGTCATTCCAGTCTCCCATTTCTTTGTCGGTAATAACATTCTGATTAATGCTCAAGCCGACATATCTTCGTGAAAAAGACTAAACGCCTGCTTATCAACTACTGTGCAAGTGAATTGCGACGTTGAAAAAATAGGTCCAGGGCAATCTACAGGCAACTGCTGTCTGATAAATGCATACAAATGTCAAACTTTTTTTATTAATTATTTTTTGAAGTCTGCCAGTTCGGAAATCGATCCCTCGTTGCCTATGGTTAAACTCTGCAAGTTCATCTTATTGCATTAATAGTCCACTATCCTGGCAAGCCTAGCCTATCCGCCGCCTCATAAGCCTGTTCGTTTTGATAGGGGCAGGTGCGCCTCCCACAGTTAGGGCTCTGTTGGGGACGACAGCATTTGTGAACGCACGAGGTACAAGTGCCGTAATCACAGTGAAATCGGCTACAACTGTTCTACTACCTGACAGAGGAAGGACAGATAAAAGCGAGGAGGCAAGTGTCGGAAATCCGTTCAGTAAAAGATGAGAATGCGACCGCTGGGACGTGGGGTTAATTGAAAGGTTAACTAGCAGGCAGTCATCGAGCCAAATTCGATCCACAGCAATGAAAAAGAAAGTGGTCAATTATAGTGGGCATTCGGCTACGTGGCCGCTGTGTCTTATAAATACTGCGCTTCTTATGATTACATGATTCTTATATGCGACTGTCCGTGATGATGGGTTCGAGTGCGAATCCAGGACATCAGCCTAACAAGCCTCTAGCCTCAAAGACCGCATGTTTTTCTTCGGAAGGAAAGACTGACCCTCACTGTTTTTCGATAGCCTCAAAAGCGTCTGAATGCTTACGATAAGGGAGGCGCTGAATCATCAGAACATAGTGAGGTCTGACGAGTGGAGACTGATTGAGGAGAAGTGGCGAGTTTCTGGAATAAAAAGAAGGCGCCATCACTGGAACAAGAGGTTTATTCGCGGAGAAATTAGTCCTGCTAGATGGCGCGGGCAAAAAACAGTTTCGGTGAAAGTGAGCCACTTGATGGGCTCCATTGAGAATCCGGAAAGTCAGGCCAGCAAACCTCTTCTTCCTGCAAAAAGCACTTTTTATCCGGAACCAAGGATTGATATTGGATCTCAGTTGACAGCTTTGCAGGTCACGGCATCCACTGTGTGTCTCGGTGGCCTCAAATTCATCAAAATAATTGCGGCCACCAACCATGGATTAACTCTACCGGTGACATGCATGGGGGAGAAATAAGTAGTAAACTGTGCCGCCTGGCTAAACAGTATCTGCAGCTTGATTTAAAGGGGGGCTGGATGGCGCTTCAAATGGCAGAGTTGTCAGTTGTTCAGGCACGTTCAAGGAGAGACAAGCTCTGCATCTGCAGCTGACTGGCCTTCGACTGTCCCGCCAACTAAAGAGGATTGAATTATCCTGCCAGATGGCACAATTCCAAACCGCGAGATCTAGCGTGTACTGACAGATTTAACCACCTCGCGCTGATCCTGTCAAGAAATGTGCCGATTCGCAATTAAGTAGTAGAAGGGTCCACATACTCCTCCACTCTTCCCTACACCCGTTGTCTCACCGCACCTATCGGTGAATGCCCACGGCGTAGGAGACTGGGTTCAGCGTCTGACGTGGAGAGAACTTCCGTCCGACGCACGGCACACACACACACATGCATAAGAATGTTCGATTACGGACGTAGGCTGAACGCAGTGTAGCTGGATCATTCAGTGAATCACTATGACCCCGCTTTGAAGTTGCTCGACAAGTACACTGCTCGCTGTCCCCAAAACAGGAGTCGTCTACTCTTATCACATATCTAATCTGGCGTTGTATTTTTTTGCATAGGTGTACCGTAGGCAGGTGCGGGATAGCCTACATTCTGTGACGCACTGTCGCTGACACCACATACACCCACGCGTAAGTGGGCGGATAGCTGATACGACAAGTGTACGCGCGCACACATTGCGCTGGTCGCTGTTCAACGCCTATATAAACAGACGCCCCGTCCAGATCCGGACATCAACATGCAAGCTCTCACTTCACTGCTCCCCCTCCTACTGCTCAGTCTCACTGCACTCGCCGCATCCTTCCATCTTCGGCAAGAGGATGAGGCGGAGCTGATGGATCTCGCCAAATCGACGTCAACTGACTTGCTGGACGAGGGCGCCGAGGAAGAGGAGGTGCTGGCACCTGCACGAATTCCCGTGAAGCCGATAGTGCGAGGTGGCTGGGAGTTGGCGAAGAGGCATGGACCGAGAATTGTGAACGGTGCCAAACGCGCTATCGGTGCCGGTGTGCGAAAAGCGAAGGAGGTTGGTGGGAAGATTGTGCGGGGTGCAACGAGGGCAGGCAAGGCAGTGTGGGAAAGGCTGAGCGTTCCCGTCGAATGGCCCTCCGACGATGACGACGACTGATACTCAGACGATCATCAATGCCTTAGATTTACAAAATATTCAGAAATATTATACTGTACCTTTTTGCCATTTGTCACATATATAAATGCTATTTTTATAAAATTTGTTTTTTGGGTATACGTGCAGGGATAGGTGTGTCGAGGCAGGCATATACTCATGTGCAATAATCTAAGCAATCTACGATAGGATAGCAGAAAACCTCACACATTTAAGGAAGTTGAAAAACTACACCATATGGTCAGTACATGCGTGAAAGATGCGTCCATCTCTTACATATCGGGCTTTAGATCGCAATAACATACTCCTATTTCTTCAAGGGCATAGTCTTTTGCTCGAGCTTGGTAACATCGGTGATTAAGTGGTTCGGGTTTTATACGCAGGAGTGGTTGGTGACCCCGCAAAGCTCGCCATAATATATATTTCGGGAATTGAGCCCCCAGTGTCCACGCCGGCCTAATTACTGATGCTGAGATCTAGATACACGTCACCTACTGTCTTCATAATACCGGAGTGCACGTGCCCTTGTATTCGTGTTTGTCAGTATGGTAGAATTTTGCAAATATTGCGTACACTGCTGTCATTCATCCATGGTGTCCACCATTCTTCCACAGCAGGCTGCGAAAAGCACGGCAACTTGCGCGTAAGTTAGTTTGAAGCTAAATGAGACTTGCTCAGCTTCTATCGCACTCCCTACTCCCCCTCGCTTGCCAGAGCTCGGTGTCAAAACATAGTTAAGAAGACCGGAATTTTCAGAAACTTCCTACTCTATCTGCTTCCCTGTTTGTATATATATATATATATATATATATATTTAGAAAGATGAAGTTCTTTGGGAAACAGCAAAATTTTATTGTGAATTTTCGAGACTGGTTCCCCAGCTCGTCTTCAGACAATGGGCGTGCAAAAACAATTAACTTTTAGACTGAGTCTAGCAAAAGGAGTCAATGATTGGTTAATATTGTCATCTCGGGATTGGCTGACTCAGTTTGAATCTGTCTTTAATGATTTTGTATGCGGCATCTAAATCGATATGCCGGTTGATGCAAGCCTCATCTGAGTGCATTGCTTCCAGGAATTCGCGGCCTTTTCTTGATTGGCAGGCGCCAACAATGCGAGTGTTCTCCCATGCTGTTTCCCAAAGAACTTCATCTTTCTAATTATATTTCTTGGGATGCCTGTTTTTCAATTTATATATATATATATATATATAATGTTAGGGGGGGCTCGTGGCCCGGTGAGTAGAGGCGTTGACTTCTAAACCAACAGGTCGCGAGTTCGAGGCTCGGGTGTTCCACACTTCGGGCTTGGATATGGCTGGCTGACGACGGCTAATAAGCCAGAAATGGCCATTCCAGTCTCCCTTGTCTTTGTCGGTAATACTATTCTGCCTATATATATATATATATATATATACTATTTTTATAACATGGACTTTTGAAAGGAAGACTTCTTGAAATGAAGTGTTTTGAGGTATGCCTACGCTCCTGTCTGATAATTTCAGATTTCCAGGCAGCTGAGTCTGCATTCTCATCCCGTATGCCGGCATTTGCTATGAGTGTGCATTCACGATAATGCATTCCAGAACTCCATAGGCCCATATTTAGGTCCAAAACGTCTTCCGCGTGGCAGGTTTTAGAGGCACATTGAACTACGACTTGAGCCTGAGCCCAGGAGGCTTGCCATCGCACACTACATGTGTGGCATTTGTTTTATGTATGTATGTCAGTTCATTCACAGTGCAGCCCCTTGCAGGGACGCATCAGTACAAATTCCTTCACACAAAATCTAGCTCTGTTAAGCAAACCAGATGGGGCTCATAAAGGTAAGCAGTGGATTTGAGGCATATTGTTAACTTTACAGGTCACATTCGTAAATGCAGATACATGACGTTTTATGAACGGCCATTTCGAGGTCTTAAAAAATCTCACAAGTAGAAACCTTTTTGCACACGGAATTATGCCCTTCTTTTGAGTATGAAATTGGAAGAAGACGTGTTTTTTATGGAATAAGTAAGAGAATGAATATATCTATCACGTTATTCAGGAAATATAGTTGAATTTTCAAGGGCATCGAAAATCAATGAGAAAATTGCATACTGAATATGTTGTAGTATGTTGAATATATGTAGTCATTTTTTGCCGAGCATAGTCCTTTAATGCAGTCCGGAATAGGTTCAATCGAAAGCCGACACCCTGAGGTAACTGGATCATTATAGAATTATGCTGCATGATGATAACTTTTACAAACCTAATTAATTAATCTTTTCGAAGCAAGGACGCAGTTCGAAGTTTCCGTTGACATTTCATGAGTTAGCCAAACTACTGTGAGTGCGCATCCTATATAACGCCTGTCAGTTAATTCACAGCGCGGCCCCTTGTAGAGGCGCATCAGTAGAAATTCCTTCACACAAAATCTGGCTGTGTTAAACAAACTGTATGACGCGGACTGTAGATGATGACTACAGTCGATGAATCGTACGAAGGATATCAGTAGGCGCATAGAATGCCCCGTTCGACACTCCGCCCTGGTATGAGCCGACCCACAAACGGCTATATGCTGATCACCACCACAAACTCTGGCTGTGCGATGGGGGATGGGCCATTTTCTTCAGGCTGCTATATGCCATTCCAGTAAAGCTGCATCCATCGCACGTAGAAGTACGTGAATAGGCAAAAACAGGGGAATCAAGTCCAATGGTTCAACACACTGCGACACACTCGAAAAAGTAAGTTGAGAAGACGAATGGGGAAACACACGTGTGGCTCATCGTCATTAATAGATATTCGTCGAACGTGACTACCACCATGAAGATTAAAGGAAATTCTCCGGAGTGTAGATTGTGAGATTACAATTTCCAGGCAGTGTGTATTTTAGCAATGCGTTAGGGCCATTTTGAAAAATCAGTTCGTCACACATGTAGTTACACGGGTAAATGGAGGATTGACTTTGGGTCTCTACTGAATAAACTTCATAAGTAAAAAATGAAGGTGTACCCTAACGAGTGCTTGATTCCTGCACTATGAATGTACTCGGCATTTGAGGAAACTGACGCACCACCTGAACGCGAACATTCCCAAAATAGACGCGGACATGCAATCATGCGGTAAGTGAGAAATTCCACGCCCAACTGCCCGACGTCCACCGAGTAATATTCAACGCCATTGTACCGAATAAGCCCAACTTGCATGTCATCCGGTCATCCGTCTGTTGAGAAAAACAGACATGATCATTGATTCTTTTGGATAACTGATATAATTCCAAGAAGGTTTCTTAAAAATACATTAAGGGTCACTGGGTTGACAGAATCCTCATCTCCTCTTCTTCTTGTCCTTCTTCTTCGGCCATTCCAGCGGAATGCTGACTTGGCGCCACACGGCTCTGCCGGCCCTCTTGGCACCCGCCCAGACCTTCCGACCAACCTCTCCGGCCTTTCGCGCACCGGCTGCGATGGCGCGCCTAGCACCACGAACAAGCCTCGGGCCATGGCGTTGGACGGCACGTATTACGCCCCGCACAACTGGTCTCAGTGAAATCCGCGCTGGGACCAGGACCTCGTCTCCGTGCAGCTGCGGTTCCTCCTCCTCCTCAGCCGTCGTGGTGCTCACCTCATTCACCAGCTGGTCGAGGTGTGTTGCGTCTTGCGGCTGAAGTGAAGCCGCTAAAACAGTCAGTCCAAGGAGACAGAAAAGCACCACCGGAGATTGCATGCTGTGCTATGCATGAGCAATGCTCGCGGACGTTTATATATTGAGGCAGAGGACTGAGACTACCGTCGGTGATCGCATTTACGGGGGCGTAGGCTGCCATGAAGTAGAGAGGCGTTTGTTTACTAGGTTCGGAGGCGTTCGAGGTCCGGACACGTGTACCCGAGTATGCCACGTGCTGGGAATTAAACTTATACTCTCGTCTAGCAGGACCAGATCAGCTACCATTTCCACAGTAGTTAAAAGCGGTAAGTTTACGTCGAATGGATTGTGACTAAAAGCTGGAATTTGTGAATAGGCTGTGAGAGAAGTTAAGTTTGCACTTTCAACGACAATGGAGTTAAACTATATAAATAGTGAATAGTGTTTTTGTGTCTCAAGTGATTTCTCGGCCTGAGGATGTGGCTACAGAATGTGTAACGTTGAAAAATGTTCTTATTTTATTATGCGTTAGATGGATATTTTAATAAGCAAAAGTACCCAATTTTCCATGAATTATTGTTGACAATACTTAGCTCATCTGCTTGCAGCGCGTGACCTATCTCATGAAATGTTGGCTGAAATTCTGTAATGCGTTTTCGATTAAGAAGGATTACTTGGTCGCTTTTGTGATACTGATTATCTTAAGGCATACTCATATAACATTTTGGACTCGGCAGGATGTGTGCTTTTAAATGCACTTCTTTTAAATCTCCTGTAGAAAGCGTGCTCGGTAAAAAATGACCACTTAAGTAGCATGCATTTTTCCCATTGAATTTCGGTGGTCTTGGAAATTCAAATGTATTTTATAGAAACCACAAACGAAAATATGCTTTCTTTTAGTCAATCAATAAAAAATCACGTCTTCTTTATATTTTATACTTAAGAAAGGAGTATAATTAGGCTTTAAAAATTTTCCAATTGCTGAAAAATTTGGAGCCTGATCATTAGTTGCATTAGCGCTTAGTGATTTCAGTCTACAAGGTGCATGCGTTCCGCGTAAAGAAAATCCCATATTTTTCTGTGTCATTAAAGAGATATCATACAGGGTCCATAAAATTTGGCAATGGATGTGGACCATGTTGTGCATTTCATGAGGAGCGGTGATAAACGGCCAGGTACGATGCTATGTGAATGGACATATCGCGGTCTTAAGAAGTCTCATAATTAGAAACTTTTTTAAAACCTTATTATACTCCTTCCTTGAGTATAAAATATAAAGAAGACGCGATTCTCTATTAATTGACTGAATAAAAGCATATTTTTGTTTGTGGTTTCTATTAATTATATTTGAATTTGCAAGACCATCGAAAATCAATGGGAAAAATACAGGCTACTTAAGTGGTCATTTTTTACCAAGCACGCTTTCTACAGGAGATTGAAAAGAAGTGCATTTAAAAGCACACATCCTGCCGAGTCCAAAATGTTATATGAGTATGCCTTAAGCTAATCAGTATCACAAAAGCGACCAAGTAATCCTTCTTAATCGAAAACGCATTACAGAATTTCAGCCAACATTTCATGAGATAGGTCACGCACAGTAGCTATGGGATCTATCGCTGCACTGTGGTTAGATCATGCAGGGAGATCGTGGATTTGCAAAGACGTCCCGTCATACGGAGTCGAATGATCTATGCTGCCATGAATGTGGCCCATGCAGCAGGGTTTTGACTTCAATTGCTAAAGGGCAACTAGCCACAAACGCAGTTAATAAGGATACTGTACGGGCATGCCGAGATGCATCACGAAGAAACAGGGCAAAGTTGCTGAATTAAAATATCTTGAACGGTTCTTGTAGCGAATGTCTGCCAGCGCAAATTCGTCAGACGCTGCACATGTTAGGGGCTCGGAATCCAATCAACCGCCTTCTCACAACACGCAGGTTATCAGCGTCTTAGAGATCGGAAGCAGCATCCAAACCAGATATCACAAGGCAGAAAGAGCCGCCGTCCCGTCAGAGAATGACGTTTACTGGATCTGTTGCAGTTGAGGACAAAGCATCACCATCGGAGAAATTGGACGATAATTGCGAAAGCGAATAGCAGAAAATGCAACATCAGTGAGGAGGACAAACGTCACCTACTACATTGCAGCTAATTCAAGAGCAAGAGTGTCCACAAACATGAAAATCATTCATTCCTACATTCTGTTTCCTCTTTTTTTGTGCATCTATGTCGCAGGCTGTGACTCTGAGGCGCTGGTCACCACGTCCACCAACGCGCTAGTGCGCGGTTTGCTGATACGACTGGCATACGCGCGCACACACTGCGCTGGTCGCGGTTGAACGCCTATATAAACGGACGCCCCGCCCTGATCCGGACATCAACATGCAATCTCTCACTTCACTGCTCCTCCTCCTACTGCTCAGTATCACTGCTCTCGCCACATCCTTCCATCTTCGGCAAGAGGATGAGGCGGAGTTAATGGATCTCGCCAAATCGGCGTCAACTGACTTGCTGGACGAGGGCGCCGAGGAGGAGAAGGTGTTGGCACCTGCACGAATTCCGGTGAAACCGATAGTGCGAGGTGCCTGGGAGTTGGCGAAGAGGCATGGACCGAGAATTGTGAACGGTGCCAAGCGCGCCATTGGTGCCGGTATGCGAAAAGCGAAGGCGGTTGGTGGGAAGATTGTGCGGGGTGCGAAGAGGGCGGGCAAGGCAGTGTGGGAGAGACTGAGCGTTCCGGTGGAATGGCCCTTCGATGATGACGACGACTGATGCTCAGGCGGCTATCACTGTCTCTGATTGGCCAGATCTTCAAAAGTATTCTACTGTACATTCTTTGCTTTATGCAACATATTAAATGCTATTTTTCTAAAGTTGTCTTTTGAAGGGACTATGGGCTGAGATGGAGCGTGTTTAGGTTGGCTTATGCTCGTGGGCATTAATCGAAGCATTCCTTTGAGAGAATTGTCGAAAAGCTCTCACACTTTTGAAGTTGAAAAATTACACTTTATGGTCACTGCATACGTGAGAAATGAATCCTGGTCCAACATATCTGGTTTTAGATAGCAGCAGCATCCCGGTATCTCTGCAAGTGCTTCTCCTTTTTCTTGAGCTGGCGCCTAAGTAATTCCTCCCAATCTAAGACGCATTTCAGAATTCCAGCCAACATTTCATGAGATCGTTTGCTCACTGTATGTCTCCGACTCCCACCGTGGCTTGGAATTTATCTGACTGGGGTATTTACTCGGTCATAACGTTTCATTTTTCCAACGACCATCATGACAACCCCCGATGACAAAAGTCGGCAAACGCGTGCAAACGCGGTTTTTTCAAGTCGGTCGGCGTACTCACGCACAACCTCGATGACCTCACCGAACTTTACCTATGACACACTATAATTAAACTGAATGGAAATTCACTCCTAATATTCCTGGACACTGATGTTCATCGTTGCCTGCGATGTCTAAACTTCCACAGGAGAACTTGCACCGACTGCCTTTTAATAGTATGAAAACGCCTCGGCGTTGGATACGGCTGGCTGAGGCCGGCTTTTTATCCAGAAATGGCCATTCGAGTCTCTCCTGCCGTTGTCGGCAATGCTGGTTTGCATTGATTAGGCAGATAGCTAGACACAGGAGAACTTTGATTTCAGGAAATATTTTGGCCAGTAATCCAGACATCAGCTCTGATCTAAGCGTTCTCTATGCGAGTTCATGTTTTGATCAGGGTTATGATTAGCTTAATAAATGCGGAATAAGGAGGAAATGGTATTCTATCGGTCCATACGCATCCCACATCTCCTGCCATATCAGATACGCACGGAATAAAGAATACAGACAAATACTTGGGACAGTGGACTAACCATATCTGGCCTTCTGGCCGTCAACAGCCACTCATTCCTAACACCGGAGGCTTGAAGTCACGATTTTGAAGTTTGCCATCCTACACGCCTACCGACTGATCCCCGGTGCGAAATGGCGATCGGTGAGCGCCCCTGGGAATTTTCAAGACCGGCTTCCCAGGTCGTCTGCATACGGCGACAGAGAGCAAATGCATCAAAATTTATTTATATCAGCACTATGCAGATGACGATTTGAGATCGTCGAGGCACATCGGTTAAATTTGCTTCATTCGAGTCTTAACCTTCGATTGGTGCCTATCGATTTGCTTTCGAAAGGGAGACAGATGGTAAAGTCCGATTCATTTATGTCCATGTACGTCGAAAACGGATGGATAACTTCAAACACCAGCATATCGCAAAGGTTATTTTCAGACACTGTTGACAAGAACACACATATATTCGTAAGCAGTGTTTCTGGCCCCTGTATTTGTTCTCATCCACTTGCTAGTGCAAAAGTTACCCGAAAACGGTGTCAGAATTTCGAATGTTAGAACACATTTTTTGTAAGCTCTCCACCATATTCAGCGAAATCAGGTTCTCGGAACGAAGATGTTTGAACGATGTTAATACTGCCTGCCCCAATATGTAGGAAAAACGGTGATTCAATTAACCACGTCGTACAATCGTAGCCATAGTCTTCGTCATCATCATCGTCGTCGTTGTCAAAAATTGCATTATTTGGGATCTTTCTTCAGTCTCTCTCCAACTCCACTGCATTTCAAGTTAAATACAACGTGTAGCTCATCGTCATTAATAGATATTCGTCTAACGTGACTACTACCATGAAAATTAAAGGAAATTCTCCGTAGCGTAGGTTCCTAAAATCACGATTTCGAGGCAGCGTGTATTTCAGCTATGCGTTAGAGCCATTTTGAAAAATCAGTTCGCCACGCATGTGGTTACACGATTAAATAGGTGATGGGTTTATTTTCGATCTCTACCGTAAAAAAACTCATAAGTTAAAAATGAATGGGTACGCTATCGAGTGAATGTATGCGCAGTCGTTCGAAATATTATATAATTTATATATATATATATATAATATTATATAATATAAAATATATATATTACCCTCTCGGCAAAACCTGAGCGAGTTGCACCATGGGTGTGCCATGGGATGTCCGGAAAAACGTGTCATACGTGTCTGTTTGAAGTAAATTGTAGACAAGGCAGAATGGAAGGAGTGAGTTCCGTAAGAACGATCGGTGAGCGCCCCCACTACAAAAAATATCGTTTGTCTGAACGGATGCAATCAATCTCATTAAAAATACTTCGACGAATATCAGGTAATTTGGTTAATTGTAAATTTTGTTTGACTTACAATGACATGTGGAATTGGTCCCTTACGTCATGCTCCACAACCCCTTAGAAGCTGGTTGCATGAACAACCAATCAAATACCACGCCGCGAGGAAGGAGGAGAGACTGCAGCATATGACCTGCAATTCTACCTTCAGTATTTACTAAATCACGTGCAAGTTACCGTGCATGAACTCACAGTTGTCTAAATGGCAACATTGTTTTCAATATTCGCCACTTCCTCCCCACTGCAACAAACTATATACAGGGCTACGACACTCCATTATTACGAAGACTGTAGATAACGTATACATAGATAGTAGGGCAGGCTTAACCCGGGTGCTCCATCCTTCCGACACTGGCGCGACAAGCACGATAGGGGGGGAGCAAGTCCTGTGTTTATCAGGGCTTGTGGGTCCACAAGTATCTCCAGCGTGATAGGCGTAAGCCTACCTCGACACACCCCATCTCACCAATTATTCCCCAAAAAAGCCAGCTTTATAAAAATAGCATTTTTATTTGTTGCATAAAGCAAAGAAGATACAATAGAATTCTTTTGAAGATCCGGTCAATCTAAGATATTTCTAATCGTCTGAGCATCAGTCGTCGTCATCATTGAAGGGCCAATCCACCGGAACGCTCAGCCTCTCCCAAACTGCCTTGCCTGCCCTCTTCGCACCCCGCACAATCTTCCCACCAACCTCCTTCGCCTTCCGCACACCGGCACCGATGGCGCGTTTGGCACCGTTCACAATTCTCGGTCCATGCCTCTTCGCCAACTCCCAGGCACCTCGCACTATCGGCTTCACCGGAATTCGTGCAGGCGCCAGCACCTCCTCCATCCCTAACACCGGAGGCTTCGGTTTTTATTCCAGCGATATATCCACCGAGTCATGCGCCCGCTTACCGACTGAGCCCCCGTCCGAAACGGCGATCGAAAAATGCCCGTGGGAATTTTCAAGACCGGTTTCCCAGGTCGTCAGCATACGCCGACAGAGATTAAATGTGTCAAAATTTCTTTATATCAGCACTATGCAGATGACGATTTGGGATTTTCGAGGCACATCGGTTAAATCTACTTCATTCGAGTCTTAACCTTCGATTTCTGCCTATCGATTTGCTTTCAAAAGGCAGACTGATGGACAGCTCCAATTCATTGATGTCCTTGTACGTCGAAAGCTGATGGATCACTTCAAACATCAGCTTACCTCAAAGGTTATTTTCAAACACTGTTGAGAGGAACACACATATAATCCTAAGCAGTGTTTCTGGTCCCTGTCTTTGTTCTCATCCACTTGCTAGTGCAAAAGTTACCCGAAAACAGTGTCAGAATTTCGAATGTTCGAACATATTTTTTGTAAGCTCTCCACCACATTCAGCAAAATCGGATTCTCGGAACGAAGATGGTTAAACGATGTTAATACTGCCTGCCCCAATATGTAGGAAGAACGGTGATTCAATTAACAACGCCGTACATTCGTAGCCATAGTCTTCGTCATCATCATCGTCGTCGTTGTCGAAGAATGCATTATTTGGAATCTTTCTTCAGTCTCTCTCCAACTCCGCTGCATTTCAAGTTAAATACAACGTGTAGCTCATTGTCATTAATAGATATTCGTCTAACGTGACTACTACCATGAAAATTAAAGGAAGTTCTCCGGAGCGTAGGTTCGTAAAATCACGATTTCGAGGCAGCGTGTATTTCAGCAATGCGGTGGAGCCATTTTGAAAAATCAGTTCGCCAAACAAGTAGTTAATCTGTTAAATGGGGGATTGTTTTAGGTCTCTACGGAATAAACTTCATAAGTTAAAAATGAATGGGTACCCTATCCAGTGAATGTAGGCGCAGTCGTTCAAAATATTATTACCCTCTCGGCAAAACCTGAGCGAGTTGCAACATGGGTGTGCCATGTGATGTCCGAAAAAACGTGTCATACGTGTTTTTTGAAGTAAAGTTGTAGACAGCGCAGCTCGTCAAACATAAGTCTTTAAATGTGTGCGCGGAGGACTTGCCCAATTCATTCGACATTGAACTTCGGTCTACGCACGCTATAGGCGGTCGGTGAGGCTCTGCTAACTGTGGCGAAATTGGTAATTGAGTCTAGCTGACGGTCGTAGAGCAATGTCATGTAGTCACAGACGAGAGCTCTATGTCACCTAGGAACGGAGGGAAGCAACTGTCGCTCACATCAAGGCTGGTTGCATGAACAACCAGTGCAGCATATGACCTGCAATTCTACCTTCAGTATTTACTAAATCACGTGCAAGTTACCGTGCATGAACTCGCAGTTGTCTAAATGACAACAGTGTTTTCAATATTTGCCACTTCCTCCCCACTGTAACAAACTAGAATACAGGGCTACGTACACTCCATTATTACGAAGACTGTAGATAACGTATACATAGATAGTAGGGCAGGCTTAACCCGGGTGCTCCATCCTCCGGACATTGGTGCGAAAAGCACGATAGGAGGGGAGCAAGTGCTGTGTTTATCAGGGCTTGTGGGTCCACAAATATCTCCAGCGTGATAGGCGTAAGCCTACCTCAACACACCCCATCTCACCAAGTATTCCCCACAAAAGCCAGCTTTATAAAAATAGCATTTATATATGTTGCATAAAGCAAAGAAGGTACAGTAGAATTCTTTTGAAGATCTGGTCAATCGGAGATATTTCTGATCGCCTGAGCATCAGTCGTCGTCATCATCGAAGGGCCAATCCACCGGAACGCTCAGCCTCTCCCAAACTGCCTTGCCTGCCCTCTTCGCACCACGCACAATCTTCCCACCAACCTCCTTCGCTTTTCGCACACCGGCACCGATGGCGTGCTTGGCACCGTTAACGATTCTCGGTCCATGCCTCTTCGCCAACTCCCAGGCACCTCGCACTATCGGCTTCACGGGAATTCGTGCCGGTGCCAGCACCTCCCCCTCCTCGACGCTGTCTTCTGTCAGGTCAGTCGACGTCGATTTGGCGAGATCCATCAGCTCCGCCTCATCCTCTTGCCGAAGACGGAAGGATGCAGCGAGTGAAATGAGACTGAGCAGTAGCAGGAGCAGTGAAGTGAATGATTGCATGTTGATGTCCGGATCAGGGCGGAGCCTCTGTTTATATAGGCGTGCAACCGCGACCAGCGCAATGTGTGCGCACGTTCACCAATCAAATCTGCAATCCGCCCACTAACGCGTGGGTGTAGGTGGCGGCCAGCGTCACAGGATATAGGCTATCCAGTGGAAATTCCCCGGATCTCTCTGAATGAATTCCATGCTCATGGACGTCGGTATCGCCTCAAGGACTTTTTTTCTTGCGTCGATATACACAGGTACAGACCATATTAATCTCGTCCAACTATATGTATTCTGATCAGAAGTGTTCTCTGAATGCAGTTGTGTGCACATTTTAATAAGCCCGTTTTCTTCTGAACAGAGTAGTCTTCGCCAATGCAGGCGAATATGCGCATGTTGTAAAAAAGATGAGGGGGCGATCAGGTTGAAAGCCTGAAGTCGAAGTCGCATAGGCGCCCATCCTCAGAGAAAGCGTGGGGTTGATGGTGGCGCACAGTGCGTGCGATGTGTACTGCGCAAGTCAGATTCAGCATGGACTAGTCTAACGGCCAATTCGTTTGGCTCATGCTGGGCGTTGTCGTTCGCGCCAGCCCAACTACCCTCGTCGTTCGCTTTCAGGAACGCCTTCCCGAAGACCGTGACCTGTCACCTCGTTGGTATTCACTGCATTCCGTACCACGTTAAGACAACCTGCTTAGTGCCAGCAAGACCCGTCAAAATTCAAGGTCACCAAGGGATGGGCAGACGTCTCCTGTTGTATTGTCCGCGCAGTGGTCTTTGCGGTGAAACGACCACTTTGCTGATCATAATCATTCCGCGCACTCATACAGGAAGAGATGGCTCATTACAGACAGAAGCAAGGGAGACTGGTCTCCCTTGTCTTTGTCGGTTATATCATTCTGCCTATGTATCATGCGCCGCTGTGCGGCTGCTGGTTGGGTTCGAGGGAGAGCCCGTAAGGCAGAATGGAAGGAGTGAGTTCCGTAAGAACGATCGGTGAGCGCCCCCTCTATCAAAAATATCGTTTGTCTGAACGGATACAATCAATCTCATTAAAAGTACTTCGCCGAATGTCAAGGAGTTTGATTAATCGTAAATTTTGTTTGACTTACAATGACATAGGGAATTGGTCCCTGATGTCATGTTCCACAACCCCTTCTTCACTCTTAGAAGCCCTTTGAATGACAGAAATGCAGGTTGCGCTGCCTTTGCTCAACATACTTCCATTCGGAAACTTCATTTGCGTTAAAACGACTAAATTCCTCTTCATTTGTAGACTGCCGAAGAAGCCCTTCGAAGTGCTTAATCCATTCAAATATGACGTTTAAGTCTCAGCACGTGGTATCCTCGGGCACAGGTTTCATGGGCCTTCAACCGTTTGCGAGCCAAGTAAACAAACGTCTCTCCACGACATGGCTGCCTACACCACCGTAAATTCCATCAGTGCTGCTGGCCGCAGTAATCCGCCTCACTGCATAGAAGTCAACGGGCATTGGTCTACGTAGCCCAGCATGCAGTCGCCGCTGGGGCTTCTTTGGCTGCTTGGACCAGGTGTTTTCGTGGCGTCTCCCCAGCCACAAGACTCAGTATATCACGCCACCGCAAATGTTGTAAATTGGTGGATTCGTCTTTGTTTTCTCGAGTCAGCTGGGGACATGAACTTTCGTTCTTTGGCGACTGCTCAGGACGAGAGCGTTGCGCGTAGCTCGACAATCGTGCTTACTATGGGAACCATGTTTCGTCATCGCCATCATCACATATCCACGCATACTGTGGCGACATGTCGTAATGCTGACGGCCTTGTACCATGACTGCCTTTCATGGAGCCTCTTATAAATCCCGGTACGGTTCACACGAGTTTGAATTACAGTCCACAAATCAGTCGAGGGACATTTGAAGTTCATACACCTGCCTTGACCTATTGACGCCTCCTCTGTCCACGACCACTGGAACGTCATAGTTAATGTCGTATCCTATCTGCGCTCCATGCAATGTTGTCTCTGATTGCGAACTTAACTTTGAGCAGTCATCCGGAATTCCGGAACTGGCTGTCGCAGCTGTGACCCTCCCCGCGAAGTGGGCGGAAAATATCTGACATCTGATTCAGAATGAGGTCACAATTGAAGCAAGCGCGAGCGTGGAGTCATTTCATGTCTGCTCTTCTCTTAAAGTCCGTACCAAATATACCGCATCGCCTCAATATGTGGAATGTTATATATAGGAATTATTATGCAGTCGGTAGGACGAATTCCACTAATAATCTGAGAATTCTAGCTGGAGGTTTCATATCGACAGTTCTGATCACGCAAACGTTTGGTTCTTGAGCAATCGCTTGCTGAACGATTTCGAGATAGCGACATAATAAAATTTCCGCGAACTCTTTACGACGTCACTATGATAGAGTAAGTTCAAACTGAACACATTTGACGACCAATGATATGGATCGGACATGACATTCAGTTGTAATTTTTGATCAACTTACAATCCACTAATCTACTTAACTAATAAGAGGGTCGGAAAATCATTTGGTGAGTTCTAGGTAGATTACCTAGATAATCCTGCTTGGGCAGTCAGATTACAGTATCAGATTTGGTAGATGCCATGGGTTGCAGTAGACTGAGCAGGCCACTTGACCCAAATGCGATTAAATTCACGGTTGTCGGTGTAGCCTCTTAGATGAGGTTGATAGAGCATTTGCTTTACCCAAACCATCCCCAGACGCTCGTGGGTTCTTATCCCGCCACCGTCGCCCAACTTTTGCAGAATTCAAGTCCGTCT